GCTGTAAGGGCAGCAAAATACGTACGTTACTTCTTGGATAATTTACCCTTCGCAGAGTGTTCGGAACGCTCTGTCTTTGCAAAAAAATGCATTAGGCACCAGCCTAACACGGAGGGTTTTGATTTGTCAGTGTAATATATGTGTAAGCCACAGGTTATGCGCAATCATTCATTCAAACAAATATTCGAAGATCGTCTATTTCTTGCAAACAAAATAACTACTTTTATAAGCGCCGTCGTGGCAGTCATAAGAAAACCAATCCACGGAATCCACGGAACGCCAACCACTCAGCCTCATCTGAAAATTGAATTTTTATGATCAGGTAAACGAGCAAACAAGTCGGCATTTTCTTCCTTTGCAAGGAGCTTTTAGAGCAAGTAGCAGGAATTTCCACACGGCGACGCACACTTTTCTCGTCTCCAAAGCATGTGGCTAATGAATCGAGGCATTGCACAACGTGGAAATGGTAGAGAGCATACACAGCAATGAAGAATTGCGCCAGATATATGATAATACGAACAGTTTCGAAGAAGGTGGTCAAATCGATTGCTGCTCACATTGCCAACACTAATGGAATGCAAAAGAGGCAGCTTTGTGCCAGCAAATTGACTGCATTAGAAAATGGCGAAAGCCAGCGTGCAAAGGGAGAAGACTCTCGTCACTTCCTTACACGATCGAATTCTCAAAACATGCGACTCATTGACGCTCGATCCGCAATGTTTGACATCTCCGAAAAATTTTCCGCTAGAGCTACCCACGTTTACATTCGCAGTGTCGCGTGAGCGGCAATTGATTCAAACATCACCTTCTGCACCTTTCGCAGTACTCTATGACTTTATATGGACAAACTCCTCACAGTGCTATATACATCGCTACCCGTTCTTGCGGTGTGCGAACGCCTCGAATGAGAAGCTGCAGCGCCAAATGCGAGAAATGTGTGAGCCCTTTGTAGCAAGCAAATTTCAGAATGAGGTTGTTGGACCACCACGACAAATATTTCTAGTTAATGGAGTTGATTCCTGAGAAGTGGGCGGACGCGGTGTGGGAAGTTGCGTCGCTGATCGCGCGCGTGGACCTGGGGTCAAATTTTGAGCTGTATGCCATCCAGGCCAACGAAGTCATCCGTCATTTTGAGATACATGTACCAATGCCATGCTTGTCGTCAGTGAGGATAAAAACACTACGCATCGTCGGCAACTCGTTCTTCAGGCCGGGGTCCATTAGTTCCATTATAAATGCCCAACGCCTACAGTTGTAAAACAGGTGGCATTTTCAAAAAAAAAGTGGCCATTAAGTGCTAAATGCTTTTTTCATGTATCAGGGTGATAAAAAAGTCCTGAGCCGTTTGACACTTTTTTGTTCTTTGCTTTTTTATTCCGCGTACAATGGAATCTACCAAACAATATAATCACCATTGTTGCTCACTACAGAGTCCCACCTATTGGATAGGTCAGCGACCCCCTTCTCCCAGAAGTGAGCAGACTGAGAGACAAAGAAATCGCTGACCGCTCTTTCAACGTGTTCAAATTTGGTGAATTTTTTCTTCGCTAGGAATGCCTAAAGGGGATGTAAGTGATTTTCAGAGAGGGCAATGTCCGGGGAATTGGGTGGGTGGGGAACCGCGTCCCAGATCAGCTCTTCCAATTTTGCACGGATCTCTTTAAAGGCAAGTGAATAAAACGAGGGACCCACCTATTCGAGTAGGAGGAGCTGGGTGCTGAGTCGATTGAAGGACATGAAGAAAAGCAGGAAATATTTCCAAAGAGCTACAAAATTAGAAATCTCTCTCCGTTAGCCGCTTACGAGCTAGGGCTGGGAAAATGAGGTGTTTGGACATGTCTACAGCAAGTGTTTGCTTTGTGCCATCGACCAACACGGCCACAAAAAGTCAGCAATGAAAACTGATTTTTTCCAGTTTTCCCATTTTTCTATTTTTCTGTGGATTTTTTCTCTGATTCCTATCTTGAAATTTTTCTCCTCACTAAGATGATGACAGCGTTCTCGAAACATAGGCTTTGATGTTGATTTCCACAGTTGAAATCCGCTAAATATTCTTCTACGACATTCCAAACAACGGCTTGAAGCCTATCGTTCCAAGTGGTTGTTTGGAAGAACACCTAGGACGGTGGGCGGGCTCAATGGGGTTGGGGCGCTGCCAATGCTCCAACCTAGGCTCCTGGCGCCTAAACCTTAACAAAATGCCCCGCCACTTCTGCACATGGTTCGCCTTTTCGTACTGCTGCACATTTGACGGGGAATATCCAAATTTCGCCAGAAATCTCGGAATTTGCCTTTAATTATGTGGAGCCTGGCGTCATCGTGGAGCAGGTGGACAGAAGTTGGTCTCGGTCGTTTTTCTTGATTAGCGTCCGCTAGTTTCTGGTGCTGACTGGCGTAAATGCTGCCAGTAGCGGTACGTCTTTGCGGGAGCATCTCACAATACAACATTCCTCACGAATCGCAGAGGTAGCAAAGAAGAAAACTTTTTGGGGTGAAGGTCCGATCTTGCTTGCGTCAGCGGGTCTTCTCCTCGAGGCAGCCACACGGCACTATGCTTGTTAGAATGGTATTGGACCCCACTCTCACCTCCCGTTATCAAGCCCTCCAAAAGCGCCCTTCGGTGCGGACAAAGAAGGAGAAACTAAGAAATGGGTACCCGATTGAACCAATTGCTATCGGTCAAGACATGAGAGATCCATCTGGTCAGCACTTTTCTGTGGCGAGGGCGTGGAGGGGACCGAGGACTGTGGGATGGGTGCACTCGAGTCTTGTCACAAGGCTGCGGGTGTTAACCTAAGGATCCTCTTCGACAGTGCCAAGAGCGGTGGAGTCTTCTACTGTTTGGGGGCTCCCAACCTTGACCTGCTTTCAGAAGCTGTGTCTCCTCCTTCGAGGCCTGCGAAGCAGAGCTTGGCACCGATGATGGAAGTGGTGTCCCTTTCCAGTGCGATGCTGATAATGTTGACGGTTTCCACTGCTCCTGTGCCCTAGCGCCAGTCATTGAAGATGATCGTTCGAAAGTGCTCCTGTGGAATCGACATCATGATTAAAGTTAAAGAAGGCAAATCGGCAATATATCGGGGAAGTGTGATCGACAGCGATTATTCATCACGTAGCAGATTCCAGGTATCGATCAATAAACAAAAGGCCTGGAGCTTTGGAAAAATCGGCTCAGGACCTTTTTACCACCCCAAGTAATTAGCGATTAGGGCGAGCAAGGACATCTGAGTGTTTGTGAGTTTAGGATAGGAGATGAAGAGTGGCCCAGTATGGTTTAGGATAGGAGATGAAGAGTGGCCCAGTATGTTTTACGAGCATAGGTAAAACGCTCGTAGCCCATCCAAGGTTATGGTGTGTCACCCTACACATTTATCGACAGAATTTAATCTTTCGAAATTCAATGTTTTAAACCATTGTAAAATATTGCTTGAAATACGTCTTCTCAAATCACCACGAAGGAGTTGATGAGTCAAGTCATGGCAATGGATGGTTTGTATTATATCTTGGTCATTTCTGTCGAAAGAATGCATTCAAAGGAAAAAGAAAGGTTAGATGTTTCCTAGATTTTTTCCGAGAACGGCTCAACACGCGATTTATTGGGTTGGTCCATAAGTCTCTCAACAAATTATTATACATTTGATGCTAGAAAACATTTGTGAGAACTCCGAATTCCGCAGCATGCTACTGACGTAGCATCCACCTTTCCAATTTCAGCCAACCGTCCAGCACGTTGTCGCGCTACCTGTTATAGATATTACACCGATTTCGTGAAAAGCTCTTCGTGCCCTCTTCTACGAGTACTGCTTGAAATGATTAGCCAGTCATGCTACATCAAGGACTGTCCATAACATGAGCGAGGGCACGTTCTCTGATCACTGTGCCCAGCGTTTCTCTGTGCTCAGCTTTGACTTTTTTTATTGAAGACAATCCAAACTCCAATCACCCCATAAAAGGCAACCATGATGCTCTACCTGACGCTGTTGAAAGGAAACTGGATAGACTACCGATTGCATGACAGAGCAATACTTACGCGACAAGAAAACAGCACTGAGGTATCTCCAAAAATTTGTGAAGATCCGACAATATATGGCTTGCATCCCAGGTGCCTTAAGCCCGAATCAGCTCCAAGCACGATCAGACATCATCATGTTCATGTCGAGTGATTCTTCGACTGACCCTATCACATTTGCCGAGAATGAGCAGAGGGTACGAAACTAAAACGCTTCGGGAGCTCTCACTCCCAAAATCCATCCTCTTCCAAGTAGGGCCTTCTCGGATTTTGGTTGAGCTCTCAAGACGCCTATATGCAGATGTCGAGATAGTGCAAAAGTCAAACATCCACATTGCAGCGTGTTCAATACAAAAGAATTACAAGACAGGGTTTTTTACGACACTAGTGGACCACCCATTGCTATGAAAATCCAGGAAAATTTTAGGACTCTCGGACTGAGACTTCTTCCATATTCGTCTTATAGCCCTAACCTCGTACGCGCCCTACCACAAGCCCACTTGCTCGTCTATCGAAACCATGTTCTAGACAAGAATCTCGATCCACTCATCATGACGTAAAAATCAACGGAGTTCTACAAGAAAGGCATCGAACAGCTTCTAGTGCGTTGGCAACAGGTTGTAGTTGTTGGCGGTGGGCATCATACCGGGTGAATGGAAGAAAAAGATAATTGAAATGTTAAGAACAAAATTTAGACAGTTTGTTGCAAGACGACAAATGACAAATGGCGAGCTACGTTTGTGCAAAGGCGCATCAGGAACCCTTCCATCCCTCATGTACGCCTACCATGGCACGTGGAAGAGATGCTATAAAATGTTCACTTTACTGCTATCGTTAGATTTACTATTTTAAGTGCGACGAGACGAGTTTAAGTCGACTGGCGAAAGGGGATTCCGCTGATATTGTTTTTGCCGAGCTATCATACTTGCTTTTTTTTCACGAATGCACCACATGGTACTTCATTTTCACATTTGAATGCTATTCTTTTTAGGCCCAACCTCTTTTGATGCACATACGGTGATTTGACGTGCTTTTGTTTTACCACATTGACGACAACGGGGATATACAGGGGTGGCAAAAAAAAGACACTTTGCCCATGGCGCACTTCATCGAACTTTTCGTCGCACAGAGTGCCGATGTTAGTGAAACTTCTACGGCATAATACTCCATAGGTGTTCTCCCGTAAGTAGAAGCAGTCCCTCCTTGGCTGTCCCCGCCGTTTCCAGAATATGACGTCATCTACCGCCGCCTCAACGAGCTCAACGGCCTGAAGCTACTTCACGATTTCTCCAATGGATTGACGGTTAAATAGCTTACTCGGACTACGGACTCTATCCCGAAGACAAAGACAGAACAATACTGGGAGCAATTTTTTGAATGTGAGAGAACAGGATCTCAGAATTTCACCGGACCCACATCGCAAGAGCGAGAGCTTACAAACGAAGGAATTTGGAAAGCATTTGAAGAAAGTATCGAGAAAAAGGCTAACGGATACTAGTACGATGGAAACCTAACTCCAAGCATTTACCAGAAAACAAACAATTCGCCTGCCGACGCGTGAAAGCAAATTTGATCCACCTGGCTAAAAATGAAACCATACTCCATCACTATCACAACACAATCATAGATCAGTTGGAGCGAGGAATCATCGAAGAAGTCAGCAATAAACAAACATCTGGTGGAGAAACTGTGCACTATCTAGCTCACGATGCAGTCATCACTCCCCAAAAAGAAATTACAAAATTAAGAATAGTCTATGATGCATCAGCACACCTAAAAAATTGTCCGTCACTTAACGATGTTCTCAACCAAGGTCCAGTTATACTACCCAAAATATGTGACATTCTACTCCGCTTCAGAATTGAAGATACAGCGATCTGCAGTGACATAGAGAAAGTCTTCTTACAAGTTCGAATAGATCCATCAGACCGAAATGCGACAAGATTCATGTGAATCCGAAACATCCGAAAACCACTCAACCAAGCAAACACAGTCACATACCGTCTTACACGGATGACTTTCGAACTCAACTGCTCTCCATTTCTAGTTCCAGGCACCATCAGCCATCACTTGAGGACAATGGTGGAAGACACACAGCTTGCAAAAGACATAGAGGACAATATCTATGTCGACAACCTCATATTAACAGCTTCTTCAACGAGTGAGGCTGTGAAAATTTATGAATACACAAAAAGGATTTTCCATGAGCTCATATGAATCTACGACAGTTCCAATCAAACAACAGCGTTTTGGGAAATCAAATGCACCAATAGATTTGTGCATATCAGACGAAGTCAAGGTACTAGGAATCAAAAGGAGCACAAGGAACGACCAAACAAAGCTCAAATGCGGATACCCGAAGAAAGAAAGCGATCAACCTCAGAACAAGTTGCAGCCGTTTATGATCCTCGAGGATAGCTTACGCCATTAATGCTAGCTGGAAAAAGATTCCTACAACAGTTGTGGAAATTCAACTACCAGTGGGACAGTACACTGTCAAAAGGACATCAGACTCAGTGGGAAAACTCACGGAATCAATTGAGGATTTCTTCTACACTATACCAAGAAAGGTTGCACAAGTCGGAACTAGATCAAGACTTGTTCTGTTCTCAGACGCCAGTACACTGGCAACCTGCGCCTACATCGTATCGAGCAACGAAGCAAATTTGATTACCGGAAAAGCGAAACGTGCTTCTATAAAAGAGAGAATGACAGTTCCAAAGCTAGAACCGAACGCCTTAAAGGCAAAAGTCAGGCTCGTGTTTGGGCATTATGGCGCCTGATATTGAGTTTAGAGATGGGAGATGGAACGACAATGAAGAAAAAAACGCAAAGAAACCGTCGACAAGACCGAAATCGAAACCCCATCTCTTTTAGCAGTGAAGGAGGCTCGCTTGGGGGAGAGCCACGTCCAAACGAGTTTTTCGGATATGCCAGCCATTCCATCGGTTAATACGGCAATCATCCTAGCTGATCTCACACGTTAGGCCAGCCACGCAACACATCCCGCGGTGGGCGGGACCAGCTGATGTAACGAACCCATCGCTGAAAGTAGTAGGCCAGAAGCCTTGATGGCGCGCAATCTCGAGACAGGAGTGTGGCATCATCCCTCTGAGCGCAATCCTGGAATATTAGTGATGGAAAGGCCTTCTAGGGTTACCTAATCCTGACTCGTGGCTTCAACAATAGCAGCCCGCTTAGCACACGACATTTTCTCAGAAATGCATCATCGCACACTAATCGAAGAAGTGATTCTGCTCTCAGACTCATCGTCAGAAATTGCTTTAAGCTGGCTGAACTCTCATCCGATCGAGAAAACAGTGGGAGCACTGGCGAAGGATCGTGTAGAAGAAGTTAGGAGAATTGTATCCGACATCTCAGCACCAGTACAATTTGGATACATCAACAGCGCAGACAATCCGGCAGACTGCGCCACACGTGGAGTAGATAAAAACAACTTCATCAATCACATATGGTGGAAAGGTACAACTTTCATAAAGAAGCCACCGAAAAAGTGGCCTAAAACTTGTCAACTTTTCGTCCTACCGAGCAACAACGAAGGAATGAGCAACCATATTTTCACAACATCAAAACCATTGCAAAATAACGTGAAGGAGATACTCGATTATAAACGACACAATACAACAGTCTCTATCAAAGTAGTAATGGCATATGTTCTACGCTTTATCAAGAACCTCACATCGAAAATGCCCTAAGACTGCAATCACGCATAACAGATACCATCCCTGATCCGTCAAATTACAAACGAAAAATACGACGCAGCAATTGAAAGGAAAGCGTCGCTGCAGGTAATAATCCGCAATAACCAGATACACTTTCAAGAATCACAACTGAACTCACCGAAACAGCAGAAATTACGAAGAGACAAGTACGGCATACTTCGATATCGTGGACGGATGGAAAATGCCGACCTTCCATTCGAAGCACGTCAACCCATCCTTATAGCTGCAAAGAGCCAGCTGGCCAAGGTAATCGTAAAGGAAGCCCACTCTCCCCTTCACTGTACTATAGGTCATACAATAGCCAACGTGACGAACCATTATTGGATACCGACACTTCGCCAATTAGTTCAATGTGTTATCAGGAAATGCATTCCATGTCAAAAGGCGAACAATCTACCGTACAAATACCCGGAGGATCTTCCTTAACGACGCGTACAATGACACGCACGGAAATTCGAACACGTGGGGTCGAGTACTTTGGCCCAATATCCGCCAAGGAAAGGGAAGAAATGACACCTGTATATGGAGTAATCATTACATGCACAACGACACGGCTTCTTCACTTGGAACTTGTATCCGACATGACAACGGCGAATTTTCTCAATGCACTACGTCGATTCCTCGCAAGAAGGGGAATCCCTACAACAATAATCTCAGACAACGCACCTAACTATCACTAAGCAGAACAGATCCTGTCCGATGCTGTACGCTCAATCACACAGGATTTCTCATTCGCCAACTCAATAGCCTCAAAGGGAGTGGAGTGGAAAACAATCACAATATTTGCTCCATGGCAAGGAGCAGTTCATATGCGTTTAATAAGATCCGTCATACATCCTTTACAAAGTAACACGGAAGACAATTTTGACGAAGACAGATCTGGAAACCGTTCTTACTGAGACAGAAGGAACTTTAAACTCAAGGCCGCTTTCCTACCAAGAAAAAAATTGGGAAGAAAGTCCGATTTTAAGACCGATCGACTTCATACAATGCGACATATTCGTCACTTTCCCCTTTGAAAGTTGTGAGACAGAGAATGATGACGAAGAATATCTTCCACCCAACGGAGTGGCACAAATAAGAACTCGTTAGCAAGCAAAACAGGCGTTAAAAAAGCCACCAAATAACGGAATAATTCTGGTCAATATGGAGAACCCAATACCTCACCAGCCTCCGAGAAAAACACAAGCTTCTGATAAACAACAGGAAAGGAACTCGGAAAATTCCTACCCGAAATACTGTGGCACTCATTCACGACCCAATACTACCGCGAAACACTTGGAAAGTAGGACGAATACAAGATCTTTTCTCATCAGTGAACGGAACCATTCGTGAAGCGCAAGTCAAGTTATCGAACCCGAGAATCGACGACACAGAAAACGAACAGGAGGGAGGAGGTATTGCAATCGCAACGCAATCATTATAACTTGAGATCACGGCCGAGTGTTCACCACCAGGGCGAACTTCGACTAGAAGATTTGCAAAACGCCACAACGAATCAGGATCATATCAGCTACCACACGACTCGAGTTTCGTTAAGTCCGCACGGAAGTTCAAAAACTCCACATCAGCTCAGTCAACAAATTTAAGGATCTCACAACGTCGACCCGCCGCGGAGTGTAGAGAATCATTCTCTATCAACACCGAAGGTTGTTATGAAAAGCAAGAAGAATGAACCACCGATGCCAGTGGTAATAGTGATCTTCGTATTATGGGTCATATAAAAACCCTCTGCAGTAGGAATAAAGTTTTTTGTTCTACCTAGTCTTCCGGCAACAACAGCAGCGGCAGAACCCCCGCCACACTACTCTTAGGTGAATAATTTTGCTTTTTTTATCGAAGTTTTTCAAAACCTTGTTCGATTTTGTGCACGTGAATGTACTATGGCGTTCGAGGAGCTAAATCCAGCTAATACGAAAACAGCAGGCTTTCGCAAACAAAACGCTAGCAACATGCAACCGTGCACTAACTTGGCAAGAAATAAATTTAACGATAACATAACCTGGTTTCACATGGCCAGGGTGTTTTCAAGCAAAGGATCATTAGCAGAAAATGGAAAGCAGGGAAGACCTCTGACTTCTCTGCTACACAACTCTTGTCACACTCCATCTAACAATAAGTGCTTCTTATCCGAGTCAACGTGGCAGGTCATGAAGGAGGAACGATCCTGGGACTGCAAACATTTTAAACCTTGGAGTCAAGGTTTGCCTATATGCGGTTGAAAAGAACACTGAGTACCTGCCTGAACACTGGCAAAGCCTTACGCAAACAAGTAGTATCCGTCTCTTGTTCTGAGTTGCCAAATGTTTGCTGTTATAACAAATTGCAAGTACATCCAAAAATAACATTTATACACTGCGACGCATAATTATAGTCCCACTTACAAATTTCCCAAAAACTTAAATCTGGGAATGTTTTTGGAAAAGGCTCTGCAGATAATTTGTGACACATATAAACGCGAATCTGAACATTAACACCGAAATCCAGTTCGAAAAAGCAACAATTTTTTATCTTTATTCTTTCGAAAATGTCCGCTCTAGCTTCTCCGCTGCATTTTGCTGTTACTCAATCAAAATTTGGAATTATTATCCATTCAAGTTCTTTAGCTTATAGCAAAGGCAAAACCGCTGTCACACTTCCGTAAAAGGGAAATCCTAGCAAAAAAGACACAGGAATTGTCAAAGTGTCAGCTCCGCTGGAATTTGTTGGGATGACTTCATAACGATTAAATTTCTCAAGGATGCTACAAGATATGACTGGGAGTAACCTTGATTACTATCCAACTGAGATAAGCGCCGTATAGTGAGTAAATGATATCCGGCCTGGTACTGAAATTGTAGGTGGAACTATAATTATGCGTCGCAGTGTACTGCAACAACCTCATGGTACATGCCACTTGAAAAAAAAAACTCGCTGAATTCCCCGTCAACCTGATGTTCTGACTGATGTTCAAAATGATCTCTAGTTTCACCGTAGCTCACTGCAATCAGGGTCAACAGTCACGATAGACCGATTTCAAAATTATTACGACCCCTCCCCTGGAGAGACTCCATACGACCCCCTCCCCGCACTCATTATGCACTGTCCACTGCTAAGGAAAAAGCTAACACTAGGGAAAATAAGTGCAATCTACAAAAAATGTGAAGACAGTCGGCTTGAATTCAAACACAGTTAGCAGACGAGCTCTAGTTTCCTACTATGCGGTAATTTACTAATGCATAACATCGCAAAACGATTCGCCTTTATTAGTTAGTCAGTACTGCTCTTTAGTTCGAATGGCGCTTTTCCTGTCTTTCATGAATGGGCGTTCAGAATTACAAAAATTTCCATTTCGATATGCAAGCGCATGTCAAACGAGTGCATGGCGCATCTCATAGCATGAGAGTACACAGCAGAAGGGCCGATTGGATGGCACAGAAGCGTTGACTTCGCATTGGCGCGCGCAATCTTCCCCTCGGCGCGGCGCGGGCAGCGAGAAACGGACTATTGACGTACAAGTAAACGTAATTTTGATCACTATCAACATTTCTCAAAACGTTAAGTAGATTTGTCATCTTCAAAACTGCTTGTTTCAGAAGGAAACCACTTACTAACCACCACCAATTATGCCTCTTCTTCAAAACCACGTCAGCTATGGGGTAGAGAACAAAGAGTTCATAGAAATGCGCCCTT